TCTGTCTGTTCTCTCTCTGTGTGTCTCTGTCTCTGTCTCTCTGTCTCTGTCTGTCTGTCTCTCTCTCTCTCTCTGAAATGTGCTGACTTAGGTAATAGTCACCTACTGAAGGAACCTGACTCTGGAGGTGAGATGACTAGAGCAGAGAGCCCATGGCCTAAGCAACTCCCCAAGGCTGCAGTGCCCTACTGTGGAGAGAAGGCTTCAGCATGGTGGGGAAGAGGCAGTTCATGGTATGCACATAGAATGCCATCACTGTGCAGCTGGTGGATGCCGCAATTGGTCATAAATTCATAGGAGGATGAGTTCACGAAATATCTAAGTGGAAGATTAAGACATGCAGCTACAGATACGGTCTGGCTGCAGTGTTGCATGTAATGAGTTATATGTATATGTGTATATGTGGTTATATTTCACTAATATATCTGTGGGCAAACATATATACACACATAATAAATATATTTATACATGTCAGACTAACATGATTTTCTAAGTATAAATTACTCATGAGCTAAAAATAAGAACAAATGTGACAAATATTTAGCCTGGCTATTGTTACAAGGGTAGGATTACAGATAATTTTTTATTTTCAGCCACCATGGACTTTTAAGAAAGTGCTAAATTGAGCATGTAATTTCATAATCAAATGCAGGTAGATGAACATTTTACTTAATATGGAACAGTCCATCAGGCAGAGAAGGAAGGCTGAATATTTCTCTATTTGCTACAGATGTTGATTTAAATCTTTTGTGTCCTTTATCAGATAATAGGTGACAAAAGGATTAGGAGAATTTGATTAACATGGCTCAACTCCCATTTATCTGCAAAGTTACCCATTGATTCGCTCCAGACCAACTTTACTCCATATTCCTGTTCTAATATCCCTATCATTCAGGAATCAGGTGATGTAATTCATAAGACTTGGGACAAATTATGTTTTCAGGATGTCAAGAATTCAAGGAAATAATGCAAAAGAATTCAGATCTCACCAAGGCTTTCTTCCAGTCATGTCTATGCACTGTACACTTTTCCCAGTTCAGTAAAGGATTAGAACACGGTGCTCATTCGAGGACTGTGATTTGATCTTGCATAGATATCTCTCTAAACAATGCTTTCCATTTCCTTCCACTGTAACTTTTTAAGCTTTAAGAGAATTCATTGAAAGACCAAGTCTTTTGGTAGAGACTAATGTGAGGCCCTCTGTTCTGTCACTTGGAGTCATGAATCCAGAGAACAGCCCTGATTCCACTGCAAATTGGTTTTGTGAGAGAATGACTGTCAGACTCTTTTTTAACTCTAAATCTCCCACAATTATGTTTCTCACTGATCACTAACAGAACCCTTCCACTGATGCCAGTGGAAGGCATCAGATAATGTGCTGATGACACACATACCTTCTATGTGCTGCGAGAGGAACACAGAGAGCCCGCACCTCATGATGCAGCTGCTCCCAGCTGTGTCTCCCAACCCAAATCTCACTTACCAAGCGCTAATGTGCCTTCTCAGAACCCCCTTCACTAAATTTGGTCTTCACAATCACACCCTGGGTTGAGGCAGGAGGGGCCCCTCCCTGTGTTTGTCTCTAAAGAGCCCAACTCTGGCTCCCTTCCCAAGTCAAAGGGTCCATGGGACTGACTGAGATGCCTAGCAGAAGCCTGCACCCTCACTTCTAGACTGTGTTCTGCTCCCCAGATCCCCTTGCACCCAAATAGCCATGCAGTCCCTTTCAGGGAGTTTGGGGCTTTGACTTGGTACCATCCTCTCTGGACCAACAATAACATGGGTACAAACCAAGGCGTAAGAGCAAAAGGCAGCTGTGTGGCTGTGTGAGTGGAAGTGTTCACCACGTTCAGGAAGTCTCTCCACCCTGGGGCGGGACTGAGCAGTCCCAGTGCTGGGACAACTTTTCCAACTCTGCCAGTTTCATGGTTGGGTCCAAATGTGATGCTCCGCACATTCTCCAGGTGAGTTTACCAGTGTCTACATTCTCCCACGAGTCAGGAGTGTGCTCCTGTTTAGAATAACACACAAAAGGAGCAGAAAGAAGAAGGGCTAATGAGATGAACAATGAAAGCATCAATGTACATTGTCAACTGCATTCTTGAGAGAGATAATTTCATTCAACCCCACTTACGGCTGAGAGGAGGAGGAGTCCGCTAGGAACTCCATAGGCTGCTCTCGGCTGAGTCTCCCTTCTTGTCAGTCGTGCTTTCAAGAGTAACCGGCCCATGGATACACAGACAGTTGGTGGTTAGCGACTAAAAAGCCGATTGTGGTTCCCCAAAGTTAATGCTCCCAAGCAAAAGAGCCTTCCTATAGCACAAAGGTTCACCACTGGGAGTTGGAGCAGGGTCTCATTTCTTGAGGTTGGAAGATTGGAGAGTTCCAAAAACCTTGCAGACCTGAGAGGTTTTCCAGTGGCTGTCTTGCAGATAACACAATTTCCCTTATCTACCAGGGAACAGATCTTAATAAAAATGGCTGTTTCATAGCAAGAAGCGAGTGACTGGATCTAAACAACATGCCTCCCTCTGCAGCATGAGAGTTCTAAAGGGACACACACACACTCACACACACCGATCTGATGAGGGATGTAAACAACGTGGGGTGACTGTAGCTGGACACCTTTCCTTCCCCTGAAGGGACTGACTCAGAGAGGAGCCATGTTTCCTGTCCATTCATCCAGTTTGCCCCTTCCGGAGACTAAAATCCAATTTGTGGATGAGTAAAAGTATGTTCACTCAAAGAATATGATGAGTAAATTATTATTATGAAAGTCGAATCATCTTCTGTGCACACGGGGACGGAGGAATGGGGTCAGGCCTTTGAGGACATCCAAACCTGGAGACCTGACTCCTCCTCTCGTGGGCTGCATTTCAGAGTTCAGATCAAGGATCTGAAGTCTCGCAAACATTTCACCTGGGAAGAAATGTAATCATATGGATGACACGGTGTTCAAGGGAGGAAATGCAAGCCCAGACGGCACCTCAACGTTATCTTTCTGTTACTAGGTTTAAGGGAACCTTAATAAGTTACCTCGAGGAATTATGCTTCGTCTGGATCCATCAGGACGAAAGAAGATGACTTGGGTTAAGATCTGAGGCTCAAGGTTCAAAGCCAGGCTGTGCTTTAAACACACACACACACACACACACACACACACACACACACACACACACACACACACACAGCATATCCTTTAAGGAAAAATGGGGTGGGGGGACAAATCTACCCACTCCTAGTTGGGAACCAGGACTGGCTGCCTGGTGCGCGTGGCGCCGGGGAAATACGGTAGCAGCCGGAGATTACGGTACTCGCCGGGCGCCGGCCCGCGTGACGTCAGCGGAGCCGCAAAGTTCGCCGGCCGCGGCGCTTCCCCGGCGTGGAGGCGCAGATCGAAGCGCGGCGTGGACTCGGCGGCCGCCCGCGGGCCGG